ACACGATGTGACATTCAGAAGAAAGATTTTGACTCATTTTGACACGCTAAAGACACGATGTGACACTCAGAAGAAAGATTTTGACTCATTTTGACACGCTAAAGACACGATGTGACACTCAGAAGAAAGATAACGACTTAGGTATCAAGGGAAAAGCGCAGAGTAATGTCGTCAGAATAATAATGCTTCACACACCATCAGAGGTTCTGGGACACGAAATAATAGTGAATAATAAGGAACGAGTAGATTAATTGATGAAGATTAAGCCATCCAAAAGGTGGCACGGGCATGAATAGCCCGTAAGTGGTGGGGCTTTTGAGCCATTACCAGTATCAAGAGCTGATACTGGAGATCTGTGGAGGTGCGACTGCACCCTGCGTGACGGGAGATGTCTCCCGTGGAACTAGTAGGCAGCAATCACGACTATATAGCACTGGGAAGGGGTCAGGATAAGGATTTGGGATGGGACGAGGGAAGGAATGGTGCCCAACCACTTGTGAACGGTCCAGGATTGTGATAATGAGGTGAACAGGATATGACGAGGTCGGTTATGAGGTCAATACACACACATGTGGTGACGAAGAAGGAATTAAGCACCAATGGAGGCAATAAAGCGACGTGTTCTCATAATAGCACGTCGCATTTTGACGTATTACTCTACCTAAGGGCAAAAAAATCATCGTACTAGAAAAAAGGAAGTGGCTGGTGAAAGTGACGTACTGTCCCGTTTTCTGTTGTGGGTCCTCTGGTAGGTTAGGATAAGGGCGCTTTAGTACGACAGTTTCTTGACGTTGGGCAAACATTGATGATAAACGGAAGAGGATAATAGGTGGGTACTACAGCCCGTCCTCCAAAAATGGGGAGGTAAATGTAACAACACAAGTAAGTACAATTATGTACTATTCATAGCAGTCAGGAATTGTACTTATTTTCACTTAGTATTAAACCGTACTGTCAAATATATTGTATTTGAGTTTACCTGAAAAGCTGAATAGAAAACCACGACCTAACCTAACCTTCTTCGTGTTTGAAGATAAGCATTTTATTGCTTCTTAATTACAATTAGTACTTAACCTATAGCTATATTAATATTACAGTTATATAAAGTTAATAAAACAAAACTAAAATATATCAATAAATTTAATTGTAAAGTAACTCAGGATATTTTCAATTTTGTATAAAATCTTGTGTATAGCGAATTAAACTTGAAAACTTTATCCTAAAATTCTGAGTGTCTTAACAGAAAACGAGGAGAATAAATGAGGAGGTAAATGTAACAGCCCCGTAAGTGAAATTATGTACTATGCATGACAGTCAGGAAATGTACTTATTACACTTAGTATTAAACCGTACTTAGTATTAAACAACTTACGGTAGTAAACCGTAAAAAAGGGATCCGGTGGCTGAGCGGACAGAACACTGCGCGCGTGATCTTGTGGTCCCGGGTTCGATCTCGGGCGCCGGCGAGAAACAATAGGCAGAGTTTCTTTCACCCTGATGCCCCTGTTACCTTGCAATAAATAGGTACCTGGGAGTTGGTACCTATTTATGGCAGCTGTCACGGGCTGCTTCCTGGGGGGGTGGAGGCCTGGTCGAGGACCGGGCCGCGGGGACACTAAGCCCCGAAATCATCACAAGATAACAAGATCTCAAGAAGGTACTGACAATTCTGAGGATGGTTACTAAAGGTGGGACGCAAACAGTTAGTAATAAAGAGAAAATAAACAGCTGGAAATAAAGAGAATGGAAGACAGAGGGTAAAATAAAAAAGGAGTAACTAATAAGATAACAAAAACGAATTAGACCATAGTGACGCATCAAGGGGGAGGGGGGGGGACGCATGTGAATTTACTATTGGTGTCTTCAGAATCGAGCTATTAGCTCTTGGACCCCGCCTTACTAACCAATTTATTCCTATTATGTCTACTATATATATATATATATATATATATATATATATATATATATATATATATATATATATATATATATATATATATGTGTGTGTGTGTGTGTGTGTGTGTGTGTGTCTCTCTAACACACACACATCCCCAGGAAGCAGCCCGTAGCAGCTGTCGAACTCCCAGGTACCTATTTACTGGTAGATGAACAGATGCATTAGGGTAAGAGAAACTCTGCCTATTTATTTCCGCCTTCGCCGGGGATTGAACCCGGACCCTTAGGACTACAAATCCCGAGCGCTGTCCACTCAGCTGACACAAATATGGTTAACTAACATCCCCAATTTATCCATCAAATTAGCATATATCAATTACAATTTACGTGCGGCCATTTGCGACACACACGTGTACACCTTCACACGTGTACACGTACAATGCGTGGATTACGTACACAGCAGCCGTACACGGTACTCGTAGAGCCCGTGCAGCCTCTCCAGCGCTCACAACGTCGATAAACTGATGTACTTAATTGCCCCGACCCTAACCTACCCGAGGACAAGGGCGTAGAAAACAGGATATCGTTCAGAGTGATTATTGTGTGCTGTGTGTTCAGAGTGACTCTGATCCACTTTAGCCCATTAATCTCACGCTGGAAAATGCCGATTATGAACCATTTGTGCCCTAACCATATGATATAATTACTTTATTTTGGTTATCTTTCAAATTCTGAGTTGAATGATAACTGCTTCAAGTATTCTGTCGTTCTAATAGGCAGCAATACACCTTTTTTTCCCTTCCTCTAATCGGCTGTAACTCCTATTCACTCTTAACTACATCTGTTGTAATTGTCATTATGTAATTAAAATGGCTATACGCGTTTTAACTGTAATTATGACTTGTGTAAATTTGTATCTGTTTTGTAAAATAATACATTATAAATTATGGAAGAAAAAAAATTGATCGTACTTCCCCAAAAGAACTTTTTAAATATTTCCGCTGACCAGACAAAAGTATATTTTACAATCAGGAAATATACAATCACTATCGATATATTTAGGCTGTGTAGGCCTAAGCGCAGTAGAGGGATTTAGACTCATGCGGACTCTGCTATTTACACAGCTGACACAACACGCTCGGAAAACAATCACAAACACACAGATATAAAACCACAAAAACACAAAAGCTATTTAGGCTCACAAAATACACACATACAAGCTATACTCATAAGCATATAAAAGCTATACTCATATACTCATCTGTACGAGAACACGAGGTCCTCGTATTTAAAAAAAGCACATACATACATACATACATACATACATACATACATACATACATACATACATACATACATACATACATACAGGGGGGCTATATACTCACAAAGACTAACTCAGTGCTCACACATTTTCAGAACACACAAAACTTGCGCGTAATACACCAGAATACATACATACCCAGCGCAACGGCGCTATACCCCAGGACGCATACACACAGAACTCATGTACACACACACACACACACGCGCGCGCGCGCGCGCGCAAATGTAATATAATGAAGATAAGTGTAGGGAGCAGGAGGCCAGATACATGGTATCATTTGGGAGATGAAATACTTCAAAAGTCAAAGAGAGAGAAAGACCTGGGGGTTGATATCACGCCAGACCTGTCCCCTGAAGTCCATATCAAGAGGATAACAGCAGCAGCATATGCCAGGTTGGCTAACATAAGAACGGCCTTTAGAAACTTGTGTAAGGAATCTTTCAGAACATTATATACCACATATGTCAGACCAATCCTGGAGTATGCGGCACCAGCATGGAGTCCATATCTAGTCAAGGATAAGACTAAACTGGAAAAGGTTCAAAGGTTTGCCACCAGACTAGTACCCGAGCTGAGAGGTATGAGCTACGAGGAGAGACTATGGGAATTAAACCTCACTTCGTTGGAAGACAGAAGAGTTAGGGGGGACATGATCACCACATTCAAGATCCTCAAGGGAATTGACAGGGTTGATAAAGACAGGCTGTTTAACACAAGGGGCACACGCACTAGGGGACACAGGTGGAAACTGAGTGCCCAAATGAGCCACAGAGATATTAGAAAGAACTTTTTTAGTGTCAGAGTGGTTGACAAATGGAATGCATTAGGAAGTGATGTGGTGGAGGCTGACTCCATACACAGTTTCAAGTGTAGATATGATAGAGCCCAATAGGCTCAGGTACCTGTACACCTGTTGATTGACAGTTGAGAGGCGGGACCAAAGAGCCAGAGCTCAAAGCCCGCAAGCACAACTAGGTAAGCACACACACATAGGGGCCCCGGTGGCTGTGTGGATAGCACGCTGGACACGTAATCCTGTGGCCCGGGTTCGATTCCCGGCGCCGGCGAGAAACAAAAATGGGCAGAGTTTCTTTTACCCTGATGCCCCTGTTACCTAGCAGTAAATAGGTACCTGGGAGTTAGACAGCTGTTACGGGCTGCTTCCTATGTGTGTGTGTGTGTGTGTGTGTGTGTGTGTGTGTGTGTGTGTGTGTGTGTGTGTGTGTGTGTGTGTGTGTGTGTGTGCGTGGAAAAGAAATTAGTATTAACTAACAGTTGAGTGATTGACAGTTGAGAGGCGGGCCGACAGAGCAGAGCTCAACCCCCGCAAATACAACTAGGTGAATACACGCGCGCACACACACACACACACACACACACACACACACACACACACACACACACACACACACACACACACACACACACAGCATGTTAGGAGTACTCATTAACTCACACAACATAACCATGTACAGAAAACTACTCCTCCTCATTTGAATATGTAAATAAATGACATATTAAAAATAATTAAAAACATAATTGTTAAGAAAATCATGAATATAATTTTAATAGTAATCAAATATTCTTAAATATTTTTGCGTGCATAATTTTAATCATATATAAGACAGCCGTGAGCAGTTATAACATGCACGCGAGATATTCACGTGAGTGACGCATACACGCAAAATACTCTCACATGAGTGGCGCATACACGCAAGATACTCACACATGAGTGGCGCATACACGCAAGTCACACGCACACACGCAAGTAACTCACCTTTACCTTCGTCAGGCGGGTGCTGTAGGTGACGGTCCGGGGAGGGGTGGCCGCTCCCCCCTAATTGGGGCCCTCCGGGGCGCATCGCCCCCAACATGTGGGAGTGTAGGCTCAGCCCCCAGGGGTACATGCCCCCCATCCCCCCGCCCATCATCTTGAGGGCGTGGGGCATGGGGTGCGTCAGGGCGAAGGGGGGCACGCCCATGGGTAGCGGCACTGGTCTAGCCAGCTGGGATAGGACATGGACCGGATGGAGGTAGCCTAGCCCAGGCAGGTGGAGCTCACCCCGCAGCCCGCGGGGCTCCCCCATCACGCCCGCGACTTTATCCTAGGGTTCACGCCCGCGACCTTATCCTAGGGTCCACTCCCGCGCCCGAGCGTGCGGTCAACACCCGCAACTTGGTCTGTGGTTCGCGCGCCCGCGTGAACCAACGCGGACTATTACCGCAGCGCGACGCGGCAGACACCTAGCGCGAGTCCGCGATATCAACCGCGCCGCGAGTTTACCTCCGCAGCTGCGGTGTCCAGCGCGGTGGGCCAGGCGGCGAGGAGCCAGCCGCCTCGCCGCTTCCTCCTCCAGGAGAGACGACACTAAATAGGTGTTAACAAGTGATGTCGCGGCGGCGAGGCAGGCGAGGAGGAGGTACGAGGCAGTCTCCCGCCATAACTCTGCGGCCGCGTGCTGTCAAAAGCCTCCCCGGGCGCCTCTGGGACAGTAGCCTCCACCACCAGAGCTGCCAAGGGTGCTGGCGCCGCCGACAGGGATCACGTGAGAATGAAATATAACAGGAATCATCCATGCCTCTTGTTACAATCATAACACGGAGAGAGAGGAGGGGGCGGCGGCCAGGCAGGGATCACACGCTCGGGGCCCCGCCCACTTCCCCTTCCCCCACCGCCGCGCCGGCCAATCACCGCCCGCCCGGCCCGCCGCGCCGACCAATCACGCCCGAGGGGGGACGGGCCTAATCGATTTCTCTCTTTTATCATCGTGTGAAACAAGTTACACATGATTGGAAAATGCTTAGCGCCTCAACGCCCTGCATTGTTTACATATATCTATATAAATACATATATAAAGCAGCAGTAAAGCCACTCCTCCAGCCACCAAACCACAATCAACAATCGCCAGGGTGGTAATTAAAATTACAATCTAAGCAACCCCACCACCAACACCCACACACCCCATCATGGGGGCCCCCAAGCGAGGAGAAAAAGCACATTGGAAACACAGTGCGAGAAGTGACGGCACACACACACCAACCACACCATTGGTCCTGCCAACCAGTATTGGTGCTCGCTCGAGAGATTGGTTATGCATGTGTTATCTCCCCATTAGCCGGCGCAGATACGCCTGGGGGATGGGGAGCGGGGGAGGAGTGAGGTGCTGGGGATGAGCTGGGGGTTGTGAAGGGGAGCAGTGCTTGTTATTGGGAGGAGTTAGCTGCTATGGGGGAGGCGTTAGCTGCTATGGTGAGGAGTTAGGTGCTATGGGGAGGAGATAACTGCTATGGGGGAGGCGTTAGCTGCTATGGGGAGGAGTTAGGTGCTATGGGGGAGGAGATAGCTGCTATGGGGGAGGCTTTAGCTGCTATGGTGAGGAGTTAGGTGCTATGGGGGAGGAGATAGCTGCTATGGGGGAGGCGTTAGCTGCTATGGGGGAAGAGTTAGCTGCTATAGGAGGGGCGTTAGCTGCTATGGGGAGGAGTTAGGTGCTATGGAGAAGAGTTAGGTGCTATGGGGGAAGAGTTAGCTGCTATGGGGAGGAATTAGCTGCTATAGGGGAAGAGTTAGCTGCTATAGGAGGGGCGTTAGATGCTATGGGAGAGGAGTTAGCTACTATAGGAGGGGCGTTAGCTGCTATGGGGAGGAGTTAGGTACTATGGGGAGGAGTTAGCTGCTATTGGGAAGGAGTTAGGTGCTATGGGGGAGGAGTTAGCTGCTATGGGGGAGGAGTTAGGTGCTATTGGGAAGGAGTTAGGTGCTATGGGGGAGAAGTTAGCTGCTATGGGGGAGGAGTTAGCTGCTAAAGGAGGGGCGTTAGCTGCTATGGGGAGGAGTTAGGTGCTATGGGGAGGAGTTAGCTACCATGGGGGAGGAGATAGCTGCTATGGGGAGGAGACAGCTGCTATGGGGAGGAGTTAGCTGCTATGGTGAGGAGTTAGCTACCATGGGGGAGGAGATAGCTGCTATGGGGAGGAGACAGCTGCTATGGGGAGGAGTTAGCTGCTATGGGGAGGAGTTAGCTGCTATGGGGGAGGAGTTAGCTGCTATGGGGGAGGAGTTAGCTGCTATGGGGAGGAGTTAGCTGCTATGGGGAGGCGTTATCTGCTATGGGGGACGCGTTAGCTGCTATGGGGGGACGCGTTAGCTGCTATGGGGAGGAGTTAGCTGCTATGGGGGGAGGAGTTAGCTGCTATGGGGAGGAGTTAGCTGCTATGGGGGGAGGAGTTAGCTGCTATGGGGAGGAGTTAGCTGCTATGGGGGAGGAGTTAGCTGCCATGGGGGAGGCGTTAGCTGCTATGGGGAGGCGTTAGCTGCTATGGGGGAGGCGTTAGCTGCTATGGGGAGGCGTTAGCTGCCATTGGGGAGTAGTTAGCTGCTATGGGGAAGGAGTTAGCTGCTATGGGGGAGGAGTTAGGTGCTATTGGGGAGGAGTTAGGTGCTATGAGGAGGAGTTAGCTGCTATGAGGAGGAGTTAGCTGCTATGGGGAGGAACTAGCTGCTATGGGGAAGGAGTTAGCTGCTATGGGGGAGGAGTTAGCTGCTATGGGGAGGAGTTAGCTGCTATAGGAGGGGCGTTAGCTGCTATGGGGAGGAGTTAGGTGCTATGGGGAGGAGTTAGGTGCTATGGGGAGGAGTTAGCTGCTATGGGGGAGGAGTTAGCTGCTATGGGGGAAGAGTTAGCTGCTATGGGGGAGGAGTTAGCTGCCATGGGGGAGGAGCTAGGTGCTATGGAGGAGGAGCTAGGTGCTATGGAGGAGGAGTTAGCTGCTATGGGGGAGGAGTTAGCTGCTATGGGGGAGGAGTTAGCTGTTATGGGGAGGAGTTAGCTGCTATGGAGGAGGAGTTAGCTGCTATGGGGAGGAGTTAGCTGCTATGGGTTAAGGAGTTAGCTGCTATGGGTAAGGAGTTAGCTGTTATGGGGAGGAGCTAGGTGATATGGAGGAGTTAGCTGCTATGGGGGAAGGAGTTACCTGCTATGGGGGAGGAGTTACCTGCTATGGGGGAGGAGTTACCTGCTATGGGGGAGGAGTTAGCTGCTATGGGGAGGAGTTAGCTGCTTTGGGGGAAGGAGTTAGCTGTTATGGGGAGGAGTTAGCTGCTATGGGGGAAGGAGTTGGCTGTTATGGGGAGGAGTTAGCTGCCATGGGGAAGGAGTTAGCTGCTATGGGGGAGGAGTTAGCTGCTATGGGGGAGGAGTTAGCTGCTATGGGGAGGAGTTAGCTGCTATGGGTAAGGAGCTAGCTGCTATGGGGGAGGAGTTAGCTGCTATGGGGAAGGAGTTAGCTGCTATGGGGAGGAGTTAGCTGCTATGGGGAGGAGTTAGCTGCTATGGGGAGGAGTTAGGTGCTATGGGGAGGAGTTAGGTGCTATGGGGAAGAGTTAGCTGCTATGGGGAGGAAGAGGGAGAGAACCACCAGGGTGGGGGAGAGAACACCCCCCCGCATCCAGTTGAGGGGGGTTCTCTCCCCCCCCCCCACCCCTTGCGTAACTGCTTCGTGAATCTGGACCCCTGGATTCGTAGGTGCTTGCGTAACTACTTCGTGAATCTGAATCCTCAGATTCCTGACAGCAAGACAGACGTCGTCTACGACGTCGACGCCACGCGTTGGCGTCAGATTACGCGGGAGAGCGTTACTTCCTGGTCGTCCTCCATTGATAATCCGCACGAGACTGGCTGCCCTTCATTCTTTACTGCTGAATGGGCCTTCATTCACCTCTTCCCTTTCTCATAACCTTGTATTTGGCCGGTGTAAAAATGGCTGTAGTAGGTATGTCTCAGAGCAGCTCTGGGCTCTGTCAGGACCTTAAGAATCGTACAGTCTGCTTCTGTTTTGATTATTCTCATTAGTTATGCATCATCTGCAAGCATTTGTATATATTATATATATTATATATATATATATATATATATATATATATATATATATATATATATATATATATATATATATATATATATATATATGCGGAAAATCCACAGAGAAATATGAAATGAGGTGAACGTTTCGGCTTTGTTAAAGCCTTTGTCAACACCAGACTGACAAACACTGAGACAAACACAGACTGACAAACACTTTGTCAACACTGAGTCTGGTGTTGACAAAGGCTTTAACAAAGCCGAAACGTTCACCTCATTTCATATTTCTCTGTGGATTTTCCGCATAAAATGATCAGTGTTTTGTGATCGTCAATTGCATATATATATATATATATATATATATATATATATATATATATATATATATATATATATATATATATATATATATATATATATATATATATATATACCCCCCCCACACCCCTACCCCTACCCCCCCCTCCACCCCTACCCCCCCCCCCCCTTTCTGCCATCTCTCCACCTCCAACTCCATTCGTCTTGTGGTAATAAATTGCTCCAAATTCAGCCGTTCTTAGAAGGTTTGTTTTGTGTGTGTGTGTGTGTGTGTGTGTGTGTGTGTGTGTGTGTGTGTGTGTGTACGATTATGCAGTCCTTTAGAAAGTTAGATTCATTTTCACCTAGCAGTAAATAGGTACCTGGGAGTTAGACAGCTGCTACGGGCTGCTTCCTGGGGGATGTGTAACAAAAAACAGGCCTGGTCGAGGAGACCGGGCCGCGGTGACGCTAAGCCCCGATCAAGACAACCCCAAGATAACCCTGATGTTCACAGCCTTCGTGGTGGGCTAGAGAGCAGGTTGATCCTTGCCTTAGTTGCTATGTCGGTCCAGTAATGTTTATCTTCCACTGGTTTATATATATTTGGGTCCTGGTTCCTCTTATAATACCTTGTGAGTTCCTGCTGCTCTGTGTCATCTATATTTCTTGCATGCGCGTTTGTTTCGCCTCTTTGCCTGCAGGCGATCACTGTCAAATTATGGGCTGGTGTTCCTCTCCGTCCCGTTACTCCCTAGGGAGGTGTAGGCGCACATGAGCAGAGAGGGATTATCAGGGGGGAAAGCGCCAAGCCATTGCGACTATATAGCACTGGGAAGGGGTCAGGATAAGGATTTGGGATGGGACGGAGGGAAGGGAATGGTAGACGGTCTCGGGGGTTTGAACGCCGACCTACATGAAGCGAGACCGTCACTCTACCGTCCATTAGACGGTATAGGTTTCATGTACGTTCGGATACATTCACCGGGACCCTAAGAGGCTCGAACCCTGGACCCACACGTGTGTATGAGGCCGAAAACTCTATCGACACGACCCAAAGAAGACTAACAAAAGTTTCGAGCCACCAGACTATTTTCTATCCTCTATCCTAGCCTCACTAACGTCCTTTCTGAGAATCTAACCCAAGACCGAAGATGTTTAGTCACTCAACAAGGTGTGTTACGCCTCCGAACACCCAGACTGTGAGCCAGGAGTCAAGCTGGTTGGGCAATACGGAAGAATAAGACAGAATGAACACTGGTACCATGAGTACCTCTCCATGAGTACCTTCCATGAGTACCTTCCATGAGTACCCCTCCATGAGTACCTCTCCATGAGTATCTCTCCATGAGTACCCCTCCATGAGTACCCCTCCATGAGTACCTCTCCATGAGTACCCTCCATGAGTACCCTCCA